AGACTGCGGCCTGCTACACAGTCATGTACTTGTAGGTAGTACTAGTACTACAGTTGCGCTCGGTGAAATCCGGCCCGAAGTGCATAACTGGCGCCCAGTACTGATGCGGCCCTTGACGCCCTCAAAGTTGTACAAGTGCTAGTGTGCACTAGGCCTAGCCCAAATTTGCCGGCAATTCTTCCAGCAAAATATCGAAATTTCCCACGAAAAGAAATTGCCAGCAAATTCCGAGCAAAATATCGAATTTACAGAGGATCCGGGTGTGTTTTGGCAATTCTATTCTACTTTCTTTGGTTTCATTGGGCCAACGTCGTGCTGAAATAGCTCGTGCAGGTTGTCAGGGGTACATAAATTTGAAATCATGCTACAAAATCCCGGTTAAATCCGTAATACTGACACCATTTTCAGTTTTGCTTTCCTCATCAGAGTCACCATCCACTTTTACCAAAGTAGACGGTTCATTTGAAGCTATTTTTGCCACAAAGCAGGAGCAAAATGGAGCAAAATATCGGAAACGAAAGGCAATGCCAAGCAAAATATGGAAAGTGCTTGGGCAAAATTTGCTGGCAAAATATCGAAGCGCCCCGAGCAAATTTGGGCTAGGCCTAGTGTGCACGTGTGCCGTATGAACTGTGCATGATTGTGCTGTACTCATACGCATGCATGCTTACACCAAAGTGTAAAAAACCGCGCCAAACAAAGACAAGTGTACCATTCATTTCAGCTCAGCAGAAGTAAAGAAGACGGAGATTGTTTCGAAGCAGTTTATTTCATACACAGAACAGCAGGGCTTCAATATTTTGTGTGGCCACCGTCAGCTTCGATTAGGGCTTCAACACGACGTGACATTGACTCCACGTATGGGGAAACCGTGTCAGGATCCAATGAGTCCCACTCCAGGTGCAGCATTCTCGCAGCGATGTGGAATTATTCTCTTCTTGAGAAGAGCCCACACATTCTCGATTGGATTCATGTCCGGCGAGCAGGGAGGTTGAAACAGGATGTTGGGTACTCCGCTATCGAGAAGATCCTGCTGTGCTTGAGTGAAGTGAATGAAAGAAATTTTGAACTGTTTTTAGCATGCAACACGTGCACTCCGAACTTTTACACGAGGTGCGTGCAGTTGAGTTCATACACACAAATCACCAGTGATGTAATTTTTTTTTTAACTTGGTAAACCGGCCTCTTGTACGGGCAGAATTTAGTAACACAGTGATACAATAAAAACAAGTACCAGTAGTTACATACATGGACCATACGAGAAAAAGCAATGATGACGAGGCATAAACAAGTGTCTAGTGCTGTATGGCAGCTTCCGAGACAGCGAGTCGAGCGGATGACTCAGCCACCTCCGGGTGCGAATACAGCCGTCGTGCACCACGCAGGCAAGCCACGCCTGCACGGAGAAGGGCGAAGCTGAACCTGCAGCGGATCCATGCCATCACTGCAGAGTATGGCTCACCAGATTTGTCGGAGACCATTGCAGCTATTCTCTTGAGGAGAGCGGCAGCAGCTCGACCAGTACCACCAGTTGCAGCGAAAACCACAGGGATGAAGGTTCCACGCTCGACCTCCTTGACGCGCTGTTCGTATCGCCTCCGTTTTTCACGTTCATGACGCTGGTAGCAAGCGGTGATGGAAGAGGATCGATTTGAGGGAGCAAAGGGGTTGAAAACCCGAATATCGAGAAAGACTCTCTCAAACCGACCTCCCCAAACACCACTCGCCGCAACATCAAGTCGAGCCTGGTCTTCTGTGGAGGCAGTCTTGTAGCGGAGCTGCTCACCAGAGAGCGGTTGTAAGTGTGGCTCGATAGCGACACTATTGGCGACACGTTTCAATAGCGAGGCAGTGATGTCCCGCACCTCATTGTGTCGAAGTGACGGGAAACCTCCGGTGCTGCATGTCAGGGCATGGGCTACTGTGAAGCTGGCTCCACAGACACAGGTTGACGGTAAGCGAGAAGGCCGCCAGCCATAGCGCAGTGCCAAACCATCGCGGAACTCGCTTTTGGATAGCACAAATCCATGACGGGATAGCGGACGACAAGTAAGCCAGCTGGAGGCGCCAGGCTCACTTGCCAACTGAATTGTGTGCTGCAAAGTGGGCGATGCGTCGGCAGCGAAGCCACGGATGTCGGTCTTCGCTTTCTGGCGGTGATCTGCACGCTGTGACGCTTTGGCTGAGGCAACGCTGGCAAGAGCTTCCGTCACACTGAAGTCTTGGTCGAGGATGTTGGTGATGTAATGGGACCTGGCTTCGCGGCGCCGGCTTTGCACTTCGGGCCGGATTTCACCGAGCGCAACTGTAGTACTGGTCAATAATGCACTCCTAGATCCTCCCGACAACAGCCCACGTGACGTAGATCTACTCGTTGACTGATCCTCCGTGCTCAAAAGCGAAGGACTACAAAAAAAAGTAAGGCCGATTCCACACTACGCCAAATCCTGTCTAAAAAGCCACTTTTCAGGCACTTTTCAGGCAAGTTGCCATGGCGATCACTTTGAGAAGCGCGCGAAAGTGAAAAGTGCTTGTTGTCTACAAAGCAACACCAGGACCCTCTTTCAAGGCAACTTTTTAGCTTTTCAGGACACTTTTCTGACTTTTCTTCGAAGCTTCAGCCTTTCGATCTTTTTCCGAATTTGTTTCCTGTTGTATCTTTCAGTTGTGGTGAGTTGTGAGCTGTCAACAATGCCTAGGGTCATGTTTAGCCAGGAGCTTGAGGGCAAGCTGATCGAGCTTTGGAACGGACATTTGAGGCGACCTCCGGGCGGTACAGTTCGCAGGAGCTACGCGGAGAAGGAGATCGCCATCAAGCTGAATTTGTTTGCTGAACAGCTCGGGGAGGAAGCACTCTATACTGCGTCGATCGTCCATTCCAAAATCGACAACATGAAAACGAAGGCGAAAGGACTGTACGAGACATACACAAAGAAAACTGCCACCGGAATGCCTGTTGGCGAGGTTGACGAAGATTCGACGTATGATCTCGAATCCGCCTACACAGCGTGGTCAAATTTCAAGATTTGGCACACAAAAATGGGTGATATTCCAGGATTTGGGCCAACAAAGAGCCTCTCCAGCACCGCTGTTGCTAGATCGAGCACAGGAAAGCCTCACTGCAGTCAAGCCCAGACTCCTCCAACGCCATCCACCTCTCGAATGCCTGATGGAGTACGTCTTGTGAGTGTTTTCCGAGGAAATGCTAGTCCTTCACCAGTTTCAGTAGAGGAGATGAGCTTGGCAAGTGGACCTGCAAAGACAACTGGTGCAGCTCGCACCGAGGGCGGTAGTAGTAATAGTAGTAGTAGGAGTAGTAGTAGTAGTAGTACCAGTGAAACATACCAGTGTGAGGAACAACTGAGCAACGTCACTGTACCAAGCTGTACAAACACCAGTTCTGCCGCTCGTGGTCAGCCAGGTATGACATCCTCCGTAACTCCTACCAGGAAGGCTGTAGGGCGTCCTGTGATGAGCTTCAGGTCAGCCATTGGTGGTGACGACGATGATGATTCTGACGAAGACGAGGCAAGGCGCCTTGATATGCTGTTGTATGGAACTGCTAAATCCACCCCAACAACACCAGACGCAGGTAGGAGCTTGTCAGCTTCTGCAGTCGATGACGCGTATGTGCCAGGGACTCATGGCAAGAGATCTGCTGCAGCTTCCGTTGACCTGGGAGATGAGGAAGTGTATGTCGAGGATTCCACTGACATTGCTACAGAGGGCCAACAAGCTGGAGCGAAAAAGAAAGCGAAGAAGAGGAACCAGAGCACACAGGGCCTCCAGGAAACAGGGTTGCTAATGGTCCAGGCCTTTGGTGAAACGCAAAGAGACCTTCAGCGAAACCAGCAGGAGTTTACAGCTGCGATAATTCAACAGCAGCAGGAAGCTATGCATACCCTGGTGCAGAACCAAAGCGAACAGCAGCAGAGGACCACGCAAGCCCTTATTCAGAGCCAAATGGCTTTCCAAGCCAAGCTCTTTGGAGATATGATGTCGCGTGACAAAAAGAATGATTGAACGGGACTAGAGGGACAGTGTCGCCAGTCCCAATACTCTTCTGTTTCTGGCACAATTTTTTTCATGTAGACACAGTGTTTTTTTCAATTTCTCTCCTGTGTTCGTGTTTTGGATGCAGTGCTTCTAATTTTCCCGTTCTGTTCTCTGCGACACTACTCCGGACTGTTTGGATAACTATCCTCTGTTTTCCAGTGTACTATAGCCACTCTATTGTTTTTACGTGTGACGTGTTCTATCCCGTAGTACTATGCTTTCAATGTCCGGTGTATTGCTAGTCTCAGTACACCAGGAATGTCAAATGGTGTGCGTGTGCGCGCATGCGTGTGTGTGTGTGTGCATGCATGACAAAGCGAGTGCGTGTGGGTGATTTGATAAGTCTCCAGCTCTATTCTATATCATTCACGCTGGAACTGCTGCTGCTGCATAGCCCCAAGTCTGAAAACTTGGCAACTTCACGCCTGCACCTGACTCTTGCGCTATGATACGCGTCGCGTATGATACCCCTCAGAATTTCCCACCTTGCTCCCCCTTATGTTCTGGCTGCCCGTGTTGGACCCATCAGTTGCCTGATGATTGTAGTAATACGTGAAACTCAGAGTCGTAACAAAGCTTCCAATCTCTCTCTTGTGTAGTCTCAGTACACGCATCCAAGTATCGCATGCAGTGTAGGGTCTGTGCCATAGAAGGGGAAGGGTTAATGATACGCAGAGTGCAAGTGTTGCGGTGCAGGAATTCATGAGTAAATGGCACGGCAAGCGGGATGCGGTTTGGTGTACACGTACACACATTAGGTCAATACTACTATCACGCTAGTGAAAGTAGGAAGGAGAAGCCCGGAGACACAGGCAATTCAATGTTCAGAGATAGAGTTCACACTACACAGGCTACCAAGACGGATTGTGAGCTAGACATTGTTGGAGGAAAGGAGATATGAATACCAAAGCCCATAGCTCTTTGGCCAACGTAGTGGTTGATATTCAGTTTAAATTACGGAGATAGGTGCCAAGGGCATCCCGCATTTGCCCAGCTGGAGAGTGCTGCATGGGAACTAGGGGATGAGGTGCATAGTCCTGGACAATAGGCAGGTAACCTCTCTTTCTGCGCTCGATGATGTTATGGAGACTGCAGCATAGGAGAACAGCTTTGCTCATGAAAGTTGGGTCATTGGAGTTGGAATGTGACACAACTGTGAACCGTCCCTTGAGGCGACCAAATGCACACTCGACAATACGGCGCGCCCGGATTTGTGCAAAGTTGAAACTTGATTGCTGCGGAGTCAAGTTGTCCCCGGCATGAATTTTCATGAGATACGGGCTCAAGGTGAAAGCACTATCACCGATCAAAAATGGTCGAATGTATTTGTTGCCAGCTCTCCAAACAGCTCTGTTCAGCCAGATGCCCTGCTCCACTTTGGTCTTCAGCTCACTCTTGTTGTACACAGCCGCATCTCCGAGTTTACCGGGAGTTCCGACATCAACAAATGTAAAGCATCCTTGATGGTCGACACAGGCAAAAACGATAATGGCAGAGTGCTGCTTATAACACCAGTAAGTGTCACCATGAATCTCTGGCTTCACGATTCTCACAAAGGTACCATCAACCGCACCTCCACACATTGGTAAATTTGACAATTGCTCAAATCCGCGCATCACTTTCGACAGCTGATTTCCTTGAGGAAACGATATGCTATCTCTGGTGACCTCTCCAACAAGAGCTTCCACAACATCATGCACAATGCACGAAGCAGTACTGACACCCACATGGAACAATGCAGCCAATTCATTATACGTTTCGGAGTGGCACAAGTAGTAGAGGGCAATGGCCAGACGTTTGCTACTGGGAATAGTGCGGCGCAGGTGAGTGGATTGCCTCTCAAACAAATGGCCGTATCGCTGTAGAATAAAACAGAATGTCCGCTGCTCCATCCTGAAGTTCGCAATCCATGCTGCCTTCCACCATCTCTTGGACTTCTGTTTTGTGTTCTCCCAGGTGCCAAGCACTTCCTTCTCCCAAAATCCTGCCGCCAAACCAAGTTCATTTTCCGGATGAGCTGTCCACAGTCGTCGCTCAACAGAAATGTTTTCATTCAACATCATGAATAGAAGAACGACAAAGAAAGAGGACGCAGATGCAGGCTCGAGGCAATCAAACAAAACATTGTTTGTCATTTCCATGGACTGCCGAGGAAAAAAATAATTTGGTTGTGTCTGGAGAATATCAATGTCGGACGTATACCCGATAGCTAGCTCGTACAAACGACGACGCCGGCGACCAGAGGCCGATCGGACTGGACCACTCATACTGAGACAAAACTCAACTACATCTACAAGCAGTAGATCTACGTGAACAACATTATTTTCTTCTTCTTCAAATACTAGTTTCGACAAGATGCTTTTGAATTATTTATTTCGTACACAAGCCGGAAAAGTGATCTTCCATTCTGTTACCAGGGTAACTATAACCTTCAAAGCAAAGTCCCGTGATTAGGCCTAGCCCAAATTTGCTCGGGGCGCTTCGATATTTTGCCAGCAAATTTTGCCCAAGCACTTTCCATATTTTGCTTGGCATTGCCTTTCGTTTCCGATATTTTGCTCCATTTTGCTCCTGCTTTGTGGCAAAAATAGCTTCAAATGAACCGTCTACTTTGGTAAAAGTGGATGGTGACTCTGATGAGGAAAGCAAAACTGAAAATGGTGTCAGTATTACGGATTTAACCGGGATTTTGTAGCATGATTTCAAATTTATGTACCCCTGACAACCTGCACGAGCTATTTCAGCACGACGTTGGCCCAATGAAACCAAAGAAAGTAGAATAGAATTGCCAAAACACACCCGGATCCTCTGTAAATTCGATATTTTGCTCGGAATTTGCTGGCAATTTCTTTTCGTGGGAAATTTCGATATTTTGCTGGAAGAATTGCCGGCAAATTTGGGCTAGGCCTACCCGTGATCGACACTTGCAGGTGTGAATGCAGCTTCACTTTATAAGCCACTTCATGCCTTCAAGGCAAAGCCACTTTCGGCGTAGTGTGGAATCGGCCTAAAAGATAAAAAATCGTTTCGTTTCACGTGTCAGGACATCCGCGGACTCGCTAGCGCTACCTAGTCGTGGTACCTAGTCTGTACTGTAGTCCTTTCATGATCACGACAACATTCATCAAGCAATCCTTTCACGCCACATGGCTGGATAGTATAGCGCGTACATGCAAACATGATTGAAGACTTGCAAAATACTTTAAAAAATATTGTAAAAATAATTTTTTTACAAGTCCAGGTGCTTGCTAGGCGCTATATCATAATTATGCGCTAGGCCTATCTAGGTGAGCGCTGACTCTGTGCCTGATGGCAGCTGACTTTATTTTCTGAGAAACACTACTGAAGTGTCATTGTAGTAAAAAGTAACAATGAATGGCGATAGCGTTATAGGAAGGATCGCTACCCTAACGTGAAGGAAAGGCCTTGCGCGGCTGCTCTACGAAGTCTTGAAGAAAGACTAAAAAGAAGGTTGCTGGACGAACAACTCGCTGGTGGCGGAAAACTTGGCCTCCAACGATGGTGTTTGGTGAATCATCAAGCATAATGTCTTGTAGCAGTGTTCACCGAGGAAGGAGAACGCTCTAGCCGCTGCTGTTGTCCGTTTCATCCACGTTGAGCGTTAGCTGCACCGCGCCTATTGTATTCCATGGAGACACATTAGGATTCTGGGCGATTGTGGAGCCACAATTTACTTCACACAGCGTTGTATTGTCCACGAGCGCAAACTTCATTATCAGCAGTAACTGTTACTCTTCATCCTACATGTAGATTTTGAGTATACACGGCCTTGTCACGACAGCGACAGCTCTACAGAGTGTTCAAGTGAGAAACAATTGTTGGTGGACGACCAAATCGCTGGTTCCGAAAAACGCGGCCTGCACCGATGGTGTTTGGTGGATCATCAAACAGGGTGTCCAGCAGTGTTCACCGAGGAAGGAGAATGCACTCGCCACCACTGTCGACCGATTCATGCAAGTGGGCGTTAGCTGTGCCGCGCCTGTTGTGCTTTAGTATTCCATGGACGCACACTAACGTTCTCAGCGATTGTGGAGCCACAACTTATCTTCACGCAGCGTTGCACTGTCCAAGAGCACAAACGCCAGCAGTGACCCATCACCATACATGTAGATTTGGATTATACACACCATGCGCCAATGGGCCTTGGCACAACAGCGGCAGCTCTACTTGGTGTTGAAGTGAGACACATTTGTTTCGACTGCTCGACCGAAAACCATACAATCTTGACCATGGGCATGGTATTTAGGCCCAGCAGTAGCCCTTTCGAATTTGTCGAAATTGTGCACACATCCAAATTACTTACCTAGCATATTTTTTTATTATTTTCAAAGTGGGCAGGGTGTATTTTTCTTCCGTTTGGGTGTATAACTAGTCCGCTGTGCTCCGCGTACTGTGCAAATGAGTGCATATTGCATACAATAGAATTTTGTTGTATTTTTATCGCCAGCATTGCCTAATGACCGCAGACAGAGAAAACGTGCTATCTAGTCATGGGAATCTTGGGAGATTGAACGAAATGACATGTTGCCACTTGCTTGGTAATTGTGCTCCATCGTACATGAGTACAACATCGCTATTCGCGGGAGTATGTTATTAGCAAGAGTAGATACACAAGAGTGTGCAACTCCGGGATGGGTTGGCCCGCGCGGAATTTTTTTGTTGACGTAATCTTTTCGACGACGCATGCGCTGCGAGTCTTTCGGAAAGTAAGTCCTCGTGCACTTGGCCGGGCTTTACATTATAAGGTTTGTGCCCAGCACGTGCTCTCACACTGCTCTGTGCTCTGCGGCAAAATGCACGTTTTCCTGAAAAAAGGTGGCATCAGCAAAAAATTCGGGGTATCTGCAGATAGTGCAGAAGAGATCCGGAGTTGCACACTCTTGTTTATCTACTCTTGTTATTACGGTGAGCTTGAAGTATGTAGTGAAATGGTCACTGGGTGTAAAGTCATGTGTGGTTATTCATTAGTTGTTGTTTTAACCTAGATTGTTATTTACCAGGCTGACTCTATCTTCAAGGAATTTTTTTAAACTGAACTTTGTAGACGAGGCACTATACATCCAAGTTCTGATGAGAAGAAAATGTTTGTTTTAGAGTTTGTACAACATGTGACCCACCACCAATGGTACTGAAATCATGGCACTGTTACAGTATTGAAGTGAAAATGAAATTCTGAAAGCGCAAACTTAAAATTACGTTTTGTAATAATTGTGTATGTACATGACATTGTATAAGTGACTGGAATTTCGAAAAGAAGAAACTTGATCAAAATATGTTATATCACTAAAATAGTCTATAAAAAATAAAATAAAATAAAATAGTCATCATGGATTTCTAACATTAAAAGTTGGACGGGTCTTCCCTTGCATGCTCTCTCTCTCATGCAGCACACGATAGAGTTGGATTCAGAGACATCATTCACAATTCTCTCGCTGATTAATGCCTCTACGATCACCTTGTGATTATGAGTTATACATACATACATACATACAAAATAGTCTAACCTACTCGGTATACCTCGGCATAATGAAAATATTCCAATATATGCTTTCATAAAATTCAAAAGAAAAGTTTCAAGTATCTGCATGACTATAAGTAGTAATTCTGCAACGGGCAAAGTAACCTGGTGTGGTCCTCTACAATTAGCTGTCTTTACTGTCTAACCTACTAGAATATTTCATTTTTTTACGGGAAACCACGAACCTCCAGAACAGAATACTGCATGATAGAGGTGGTTGCAGACGCAACTGTGGTGGTGAAACTGGAGCATCTCTGCCGACCTGAGGTCTCGGCTTCAGCGACACTTCAGTGCACCAAAAACTTGGGAGGAGTAGGGACAAGGGGTGGGGAGGGGGGAGTATATTTATATAGAGGAAGGAAATATTTAGTGGGGTAGTCATCAAGCATAACATAATGCTGCTACAATTTGGTAAATATGACTAAGAAAGAACGGATTTGATGAACAGCATAGCCAGTCAGTAATATAGAGAACACACCACGGAGAGAGAGAGAGAGAGAGAGAGAGAGAGAGAGAGAGAGAGAGAGAGAGAGAGAGAGAGAGAGAGAGAGAGAGAGAGAGAGAGAGAGAGAGAGAGAGAGAGAGAGGAGAGAGAGAGAGAGAGAGAGAGAGAGAGAGAGAGAGAGAGAGAGAGAGAGAGAGAGAGAGAGAGAGAGAGAGAGAGAGAAAGAGAGAGAGAGAGAGAGGGGGGGGGAGGGAGAGAGAGAGAGAGAGAGAGAGAGAGAGAGAGAGAGAGAGAGAGAGAGAGAGAGAGAGAGAGAGAGAGAGAGGGGGGAGAGAGAGAGAGAGAGGGAGAGAGAGAGAGAGAGAGAGAGAGAGAGAGAGAGAGAGAGAGAGAGAGAGAGAGAGAGAGGGGAGGGAGAGAGAGAGAGAGAGAGAGAGAGAGAGAGAAAGGAGGGAGAGAGAGAGAGAACGGTACCAGCACTTGCTGCTTGAAGTGCTTGAAACCTCCATCTGTGACGGAGCAAACAGAGAATACCGCACGAACACGAAGACGATCCACATTATAGCATACACCGGAGCCAGAATGGATTGGATGCATGCACATGTACACACACACACACACAAACACCCACATACAAACACACACACACACCATTGGACGCACATCGCCGGAGGCGATGATAGCGATGCTACAGCAAAAGCCATAGCAGCTTGTGCTGAGATTGCACCATCAACAGCTTGCAAGGCTGAAGAATTGACCGCCACTATTCAGCCTGCTCTACACCACACAGCTATGAAATGGCTTTTTCTGGCCAGTGAATCACTACTTTTGGTCTTTTTCATTTTTTTCACACACACACACATCACACCACATACTCCGGCATGCACTGGCTGTTGGTAACCACCCAGGAGAATGAAAGAAAAGTCAGGAGGAGTCTGAGAAAGAGAAGAAAGACGTGTGTGACCATAATCATCGGGAATCGAACCCGCAACCTATCGATTGGAAATTGCTGCACATACCACTGCACCATATGGCACACACACACACACACACACACACACACACACACACACACACACACACACACACACACACACACACACACACACACACACACACACACACACACACACACACACACACACACACACACAAACACACACACACACACACACACATACACACATACACACATACACGTAAATCCACACTGATGCACACAATTTTAAATAGTTTTCAGGTGTTTTAAGGTTCGGCTAACACTCCGCAAAATATCGTATAATTATATCAGTACATGTGCTCCAAATTTCCAGTCGCAAGAAAATTTGACTTTTCTCAAACTTGATTTATGAACAACGAATACCTATTCAGCATACTTTCTATCACAACTGGGACAATATCTGATGAGAAATACATCATCACAGCCAAACGAGAGACGTACGTTACAATGACTTATTCGGAATTCAGGTAGTGCAAGAAATGAACGCAACCTACCGTTTACACACGGGCCCGTCGTGGCAGCAGCTGGTTCATCTTGTCGACCTTGTTGGGATATTTACCCCAGCGTTTGATGACCTTCACAAGCTTGATGTAGCCGACCTGTTCCTCGCTGCTTACAATGTTGACCAACTCCTCGTTGTGAGCGCGTGGTCCATCTCGTCTCTCAATCCTCTTCAAGTCGTCTATCTGCTCCAGATCGGCAAAGAACCTGGCCTCTTGAGCCATTTTACGAAATGTTCCTGCGGGTAATGTGCCCAGCCAAGGTGAGATATGGGTTATGAAGGCACTTTGTTTGAATGGGTCGCCGTACGAATTTTCGTCCTCATCTAAGCAAGATATACATGGCATAAAACATGAACAAACAGACAAAAAATGATTTATGGCCAGCCGTACACATTAGGTTAACACAGGCAAGTTCTAGAGTGTCGATGTGCATCACTCCAGTCTGGACCTGTACATCATCAGTGGTTGATCTAAGTATGCTTATACCATGGCAATGGCTAACCTGGCAAGGATTCTTGGCATCTAAATCACTGTTGTGCTACATGCATGTGGCTCCATTTCAGTATGTCATGTATACTTTTGTACATGCCAACCCTCCCCACACACACAAACGCATGCACCACACATACACACACAGACACACACACACACAGACACACACACACACACACATCCACACATGCAAAGCAACGAGTTGTCTTAATGTTGCGTTGGGTATGTATATACAGTCAACTTTGCTAATAACGACTGCGGATATAACCACAATTCGTGAATAACAACATAATTTCCATGCCCAGAGGAAAGTGCCCATCTAAATGTAATACATATACTTTGGGTTTAAGGACACTTCGCGAATAAGGTCACTTTTCTGATGCACTGCCGAGTGTCATTATACGCAAAGTTGACTGCATTATGTCAACTCGTAAGAATGGATGAATGTTCATACACACATCCAAG